AGGAGAAGGAGAAGGAGAAGGAGAAGGAGAAGGAGAAGGAGAAGGAGGAGAGGCACCTGGGTGACTCAGTTTGTTGAGTGTCCAACTTCAGCTCAGGTCATGCTCTCATGGTTTGCGAGTTCGAGCCCCGCATTGGGCTGTCTGCTGTCAGCCCAGAGCCTGCTTCGGATCTTCTGTCCCCTCTCTCTGCTCCTGCCTGGCTCAGGCTTGCTCTCTTACTCTTGTGCACTCGCTCTCTCTCCCAAAAATAAACATGGGGGAAAAAAAGAAAAGAAAAAACTTTCCACATTCAGCTAAGCTGGGAATCTCTTGACACTTTGCTCTGGTCCCTTCTGCCTTCCAGTCCCATCTTGATGGTGTTTCCCAGGGTTGTGTCTCAGTCGTGAGCGTGCCCGATGCAGACCAGGCTCTGGGTACCAGACCGGGAAGAGGGGAGGGCATGCTCGGACCATTCCAACCTGAGCTGAGGTCAGAGTTCGGATGCGTTATCTGCACAGTGAAGTTTTGCGTAAGGAGCGTCACCTACCCACATCTGTTATTCTGCTCCTTTTCAGAGGAGCCCAAGGTCCAGGACATATATGCAAATGAAGGCAAATGGAATTGATGGGCTCTTTAGAACATCATCTGATGACCCTGGCACACTTCAGAGAGCAAAGCTAAAGACCAGTCCTGGATGTCCAACCCGTGTGAACGCTTTGCGACGGCCACCTCGAAAATGACGCCGTCGCTGCTCTGCACATGCCACACCGTGCTCCTGGAGAACCCCGAGGTCTACGGCAGGTCCGGCTCCCACCACGAGGGCTGTGCAGGGCCCTCTGGGGGCCTGAGGGGGATCTGGTCCACACCGCGCCCCACCCACTAGAGGTGGAAATCAGGCGAGCTAGTTAGTCTCTGGGGTGTCCTGTTCACACATGACGACAACCAGCAGGGCTGTCCGGACACTTACTGAGACCAGGGACTCAGCATCAGGTGCACAGTGAATGTGGAGGACCAGGGTGCTTTCCTGTCTGGATGGCAGTCATCATAACTCACCTATGCTTGGTCTCAGAACTTCCTTGTGTGCCTTTGGATCTTTTAAATTCTGCGTAGGTCCCAGAATTTGGTCCTCAAACTATTAGTCCTAACCCAGCTGAAGAATAACAACACCCTGTGAGGGTGAAATCTCTTTAGAACACCCCCTAAGGCCAAATTCCTGTAAACGAGTTATGTTTCATGAATCCTTCTTATGACCAAATGACCTTATGACCCAACAACAGTCCTTCCAACTGTGAGCTCTGCAGAGAATTCAAGGTGACAAATTTCACAGAGTGCCTGAGTGGTTCAGCCGGTCAAGCGTCCATCCGACTTTGACTTTGGCTCAGGTCATGGTCTCACGGTTTGTGAGATCGAGCCTCACGTCGGGCTCTGTGCTGTCAGCAAGGAGCCTGCTTGGGATTCTCTCTCGCCCTGTCTCCCTGCCCCTCCCCCAGCTGGCACGTGCTCTCTGTCAAAAATAAACATTAAAAAAAATGTTTTTGAGAGTGACACATTTCAGAAATCCAATTAAATGGACTCTCTCACTGTGGTAGCCAAATGATGCGTAATCCTATCCACCAGAAGCGCTCTCCCCGCCGCGTTACCTTTCTTCTATCACAGGAATCATCACCGGCTAATATGCTAGGCCACCTACCTCTTTCAAATTGTAGCCTTTTATATCTTTGCATAATTTCAGCCGCCACCATGCACTCGATCTAGAAAGAAAAAAAAACACAAACAAGAAGTGTAACGAGCCGAGGGCTAGACTATGATACCAGGTCAGCCTAAACCGAACCCACGGCACCCGCAAAGCCAACCAAGCAGGGCACAGTTGCACGCGTTAAAAACCGGATTTGTTCGGGGGCTCGTGCCTCGTCCTCCTGCAGGTGGCCTTGCTTAGGGCAGGCGGCATCGGGGCAACTGATCGCAGTTTCCAATCCTTCTTTGATCAAGAGCTCGACATACTGTTTCAGGCACTGAAAGGAAAAAAAATCAGAGAAGTATCTGTAAACATCTTTACTTCCTTAAGGGAGAAAACTCAGCAGGTGCAGAAGAGGTGATGAATCAAGCACGTTGTTCCCTTACGGTTTCGTATTTTCCCTGGGTCGCCCAAAGCAACCACCGAATGAGAGGTTTTATTCCCTCGAGTACTGATGGGGCGCCCCCTGTGCCATGCTGGTCACAGAATGGCTGCGGGTGGGACCTCTGCACACGACCTCAGCAAACACCAAGCCAGTGAGTCTAACAGGAGGAGGAAGGTCGGGAAGGAATATTTCTCAAATACATATTAGACATCGGGCACCGGACTCAATCCTTTATACTGCATTGTTTCATGTACTCCTTAGAACATTTTTTTTTTAATGTTTATTTATTTTTGAGAGAGAGAGAGAGAGAGAGTGTGTGTGTGTGTGTGTGTGTGTGCACAGGGGAGGGAGAGACAGAGGAGGAGGCACAGAATCTGAGCTGTCAGTACAGAGGCCGATGCGGGGCTCGAATGTACAGACCACGAGATCATGACCCAAGCTGAAGTTGGACGTTACCCGACTGAGCCACCCAGGCACCCCTACTCCTTAGAACACTCATACAGGACAGGCATGACTGTCCCATATTTCAGGTGTGAACACTGAGTCACCAAAGGAACTTGCCAGCTTACCCAGATAGCCAGGGCAGAGCCCAGATTCAAGCCCAGCCTATCTCGACTCAGAAATGCCCCCACGTTCCCCCTTAGGACCCTCTGCCGATCCTTACTCACCGACACCCCGCTTACTCAGTGATAACTTACTACAACCTCACCTATGGGGTGGACTGTTGCAAAGTCTCAGGTCAGTCAAACAGAAAAAGCGGGGGGCACAGCAGGGTTCTAGCGAGGATGATGAGGGTGTACCCCGTGCCGATTTACTCCTGCTTCGGTCTACCAGCCTGGGAAGCCCACACTCCCCTGCAAAGCACATTATAAAGCCCAATTAAAAGAAAAAACATGGGGGCGCCTGGGTGGCTCAGTCGGTTCAGCATCTGACTCTTGATTTCAGCTCAGGACATGATCTCCCAGATTGTGGGATTGAGCCCCGAGTCAGGCTCTGTGCTGACAGTTCAGAGCCTGCTAGGGATTCCCTCTCTCCCTCTCCTTCTCTCTCTCTCTCTCTCAAAGTAAATAAATAAACATTGAGAGAAAGAAAGAAAGAAAGAACAAAGAAACAAGGAAAGAAAGAAAGAAAGAAAGAAAGAAAGAAAGAAAGAGGAAGGAAGGAAGAGAGAAAGAGAAAGAAATAGAGAAAAAGAAAAAGAGAGAAAAGAATAAGACAGAGAGAAAGAAAGAAAGAGAAAGGAAGAAAGAAAGGAAGAAAGAAAGAAAAAGGAAGGAAGGAAGAAAGAAAGAGAGAGAGAGAAAAAAGAGAAAGAAGGAAAAGGAAAGAAAGAAAAGAAAAGAAAAGAAAAGAAAAGAAAAGAAAAGAAAAGAAAAGATATAGCCTTCCCCAATAAGCTCACTACCAAAAGTAAACAGAGACAGACTTTGAAGAGCTCAGAGAAGAACTCAGAGTGCTAAACCTGGGGCCATTAAGTGAAGAGAAACCAGTGTAAAAATGACAACAGCATATCCTCAAATCAACTTGCGATCACAGCCCAGTTCAATATTTGGGGTTCATGAGGCCAACACCACTGTTATAATAACACTATTAAAAGTAATAGTGATTCATCGAGAAAAGCCCATAAGCTATGTTTCCCAAGCCTCCACTTCCCCCCAGACGTGTTCTGCATTTCCCTAGAAGGATGCGTGGTCATTGAATGGGTGTGCCTCAACTGTCCCTATGCCCAGGCTAAGTCTTCCTCTCCTCCTACCAGCCTCGTTTTCCCGACCTGCACTTTGGGGCGCTTTAGCCCACCTCCTGGTGGAGCTGTAAGAACTTCACTCAAGAGAATCCAGAAGACCGTGTGGAAAGCAGCGTATGCCTGATTATGTAAAGAATAATTTGATGTAAACGGGTAATTTCCACCGTCGTAGCATATCAGGATACGTCGTCCACGACAGACCCCAGGTAGCAATTTCTCTTAAAAATACCAATCAAGGTCATCCTCGGAAGGAGCCATTCCCCGGAGCCTCCCTCCAGAGCGCTAAACAGAACGCGTGGCTTCACCTGTCACCTGCCACGCTGGTGCCCAGACCCCGGCCCCGAGTTCAGCGTGCCCTCCTCTGTCCTGCCCGGGCCCCCCGTGAGTGCAGTCGCTCCGAACGTCTGTCACTCACAGACCGCAGACAGTTTACCGGCACGACGGCTGGGAAGAGAGCTCCCGGAGAACCAGGTGTGGATGAGCCCCGCAACGAGGCACAGGGTGGTCCCGGGGGTCCACTCATCGGAACCAACGTCACAAGCGGGGGAACAGCAGAGGAAGAGGGAGCAGTCACACGGAGCCTCCGGTGGGCCCGGGCCCCGTCGCAGCAGCTGCTCGGGGAAACGGCAATGTCGCGGCACGGCGGCCACGACCCTCGCAGCAATGGTGTGTTTACAGCCAGGGCGAACGTGGAATGTCCTGTTTACGGCTCGTGCCACACGCGGAGGGAGAAAGACTGCAGGCTTTTGGAGCCAGACAGACCCACGGAATCCTTGTAGGCAGAGGCCACGGCCGGGCTCCTTGGCGGGTTCGGGCCGCAGCTCCCTCAGCCATAAAATAGGGATGCCCCGCTTGCTGGGCTCTGGGGACTGAAAGAAAGAACGTCAAAGCGCCCGACACAATTCCTGGTATGCGGCCCGAGCCAAGCAAACAGCGACTGCCGTTTCCTGCGCTTGGTCTACCTGTGCGTGTTTCCTACAGTCACGGGCATAAAAACAAACTAAAACCGTAGCCACAAGAGGATTCGTTTACGGTTTATAATCAGTTTGTCTTGGGGCGCCGAGGTGGCGCCGTCGGCCAAGCGACCGACTTCGGCTCAGGTCATGCTCTCACGGGCCCGCGACGGGCTCTGGGCTGATGGCTCGGAGCCTGGAGCCTGCTTCCGATTCTGTGTCTCCTTCTCGCTCTGCCCCGCCCCCGCGCATGCTCTGTCTCTGATTCTCTCTCTCAAAAATAAATAAAAACATTTAAAAAAACCACAACAGACTTTGCATGGAGCAACGATGACTGTGTCACGTCTGGCTGGGAGCGAACATCCCCGGCCCCTCAGATGCATCTGTGCTGTTTGCAAAATGATTATAACGAGTATGCTCTGGGAGCATCAATTTGTTTACTACATAAAGAGAGATGATCTAAGTGTCTGACCAACCATCCACTGAAAACAAGCCCGGTCTTCTTCCAGATACTCAGTGGGTCATGACTCACAAGTCATGGTTTTCAATTTAATAGCTAAAAGATGTCTTAAAAGACACACACAAAAATGGGCAGAGAAGCTCAGTCAACTACGCAGTACAAAAGCAGATATCAATGGACTTCCTGCTATCATATTAATTATAGCTCCCAGTGATCAAAGGTCTTCACGTTAGCTGTTAGCCCACTACCCACAGCCTTCCATTTCCCAGATGAGAAAAAGGCTGGGGGAAGCTCAGAATGGCCCCAAAGGCATACTCTGTAAGTAAGGGAGCAGGGACTCACGCGTGCCAGAGTCCAGACAGGTGAGTCTTTGTTTCTGGATTTTAATTTCTGCCTTCTTCCTCAATTAACAACCCTTTCAAATGTAATTATCTATTATGCATCTTCAGTGACCTCATCAGTGTTTTTGTTAGAACGGAGAATTGTATGTTCTTTAAACTGGCAAAGTCTAGGGGCGCCTGGGTGGCTCAGTTGGTTAAACTGGCAAGGTCTGAGTCAGCCAGGAATGTATCTGTATGTGCCCATGACGCTCAGATGCAAGGACGGTCCCAGACACCAAGCCCCGGACAGCCACTGCGGGGGGGAGGGGCTCATCTGCAGGTCATAGTCGTGCACTGTGCCCGACGTCCCAGTGGGAGGACAGGGGCCCCACCCGGACGGGGTCAGGAAGGCTCCCAGAGGTGACATGCTGGCCAGAGGGGCAAGGACATCCCAGGAAGGGGGGTGTCTGCGGCACAAAGAGCAGGAGGAGGGAGGGGAGGTGTCGAGAGCCACGGAATGTTCCAGGAATTTCCTTTGGGACAAGGACATCCCAGGAAAGGGGGTGTCTGCTGCACAAAGGGCAGAAGGAGGGAGGGGAGGTGTCGAGAGCCACAGAATGTTCCAGGAATTTCCTTTTCCATTTCGTCTTCCAACAGCCTGAAACCCAGTTCCAAAGAGGAACGGCAATCCGTTTCCCGCCGAGCAGAAGCGGGCCACAGAGACGCAGGGCCCTGCCTCAGCTACAGCAAGTCTGAAGGTTGTGTGTTTTCTCACTTGAGGGCCTGGCAGCTGTGGAAGATCCTGAGAGCAGGAGAAAACTCCAGAAACTGTGCTCAGAGGGACCCGAGGAGCCAATGCTCCTCAGGGATCCACTACTTAGGAACATCACGTGCAGGCAGGTCCACATAACGGCGGTGGGGCCCCAGTGAGCACTGTTTGAAGGGCAAGGACCCCGGAATTGCACAGCTGGCTTCACATCCCAGCTTACCAACTTGGCAGATGTGAGCAAGGAGCTTCACCTCCCCGAGCCCCCCGGGGTAAGCCTGCCGCCAAACCCGCTCCAGCCACCAGACCAACCTGCGGCGGCTGCGGTCACCGGGCGGGCGGGCACCACACGCCTTCCTTGGGTCTCAGCTCTGTAGCCGCCTGCAGCCACTGCCCCCTCGGGTATCAGTGCACGGCTGGCCCCCACGCAGGGACACGGGCGTCCTATAGCCCTTCGTAGGCTTGTGATTACAGATGCCGGGTAAAGACGCGGAGCGACAGACTGGCCTGGAACCCTCTCCTTCCAGAGCACCAAGGTGGAGGCCCTCAGGCACGGCTCTGTCACATGTCTGGGGTCTAGGTCGATTCAGCCAGTAGGCACGGAGCACCTGCTTTGGTGACAAGGACCGCTGGAGCTTCGTGGGGGCAA